AATCATGGCAGCCGGTCCCATCACTTCATGGCAAATAGGTGGGGAAACAGTGGAAACTGGCTGACTTTATTTTTCAGGGCTCCAAAAGCACTGCAGATGGTGATTGCAGCCATGAAATTAAAAGAGACTTGCTCCTTGGAAGGAAAGTTATGACCAACCTAGTCAGCATATTAAGAAGCAGAGATGTTACTTTGTCAACAAAGGTCCATCTAGTCAAGGCTATGGTTTTTCCAGTAGTCATGTATGGATGTGAGAGTTGGACTACAAAGAAAGCTGAGTGCCAAAGAATTGATGCTTTTGAACTGTGGTGTTGGAGAAGACTCTTGAGAGTCCCTTGGACTGCAAGGAGATCCAACCAGTCCATCCTAAAGGAGATCAGTCCTGGGTGTTCGTTGGAATGTATTGATGTTGAAGCTGAAACTCCAATGCTTTGTCAACCTCATGTGAAGAGTTGACTCATTTGAAAAGACCCTGATGCTGGGAATGATTGAGGGCAGGAGGAGAAGGGGATGACAGAGGATGAGACTGTTGGATGGCATCACTGACTCAACGGACATGAGTTTGGGTGGACTCTGGGAGTTGGTGATGGACAGGGAGGCCTGGCGTGCTGTGGTTCATGGGGTCGCAGAGTCAGACATCACTGAGCGACTGAACTGAACTAAACTGAGAACCACATGGTGAAAGCAGATCTTTGCTCTTTACCCATCCAACTTTTCTTCCAATTCATTGTTTTCTCTTCATCATTCCATTGGAATTTGGTAGGAATTAGCCAACCAAGGGGCTTCCTATGTGACTCAGTGGTAAAGCATTTGCCTGAAATGCAGGGGGCTGCCTGCCAAATAGGAGACACAGGTTTGATCCTGGGTTGGGAAGATCCCCTGGAGAAGGAAATGGCAACTCATTCCAGTATTCTTACCTGGATAATCCATAGATAGAGGAGCCTAGTGGGCTATAGTTTGTGGGGTTGCAAGTGTTGAACATGACTCAGTGACTAAACCACCACCACCAATACTGTACACGTTAATACTAGCTTTCAATAAAAGTTTGCTGAGTGAATAAAAAATACACAGATGTATGAATGAATGAATGGATAGCAGCATGGTACCTCTCAATGAGCTCACTCTATCTGGGGAGTCAAGTAAATAACTGGCTAACTAGTAATCAGCCAATGTATGATAGAGATAAGATCCAAATGGTGAGAGAGCATAACATGAGCAGAGATGAATTGTTCCTTTCACTTATGCCTTTTTAAAATATCTACTTTATGGTTTATGCTCAGGGGAGTGTTTAAAACTCACTACTGAATGACTGATGAACAAAACTCTGATATCTTTTGAAAAAAGGATTGCCATACAAATTTATTAAAGGAATAAAACAAATAAGAACTTTAGATAAAGAAAACACTGCTGGCTGCCTACAGCAAATAGGTTGAGGCTATCTTGACATTCTACATTCCAAAGTACATTCTACATTGCAAAGAGTCGGACATGGCTGAGAGACTTGTCACGCAGGCAGATACGTTGACAAAGAGGACTTCCAAACAGTCATAACAAAGAGAATAGTAAAGTCTTTGAGTTGCTATCAAGTCATTTCTAGATATGTGGGGACAAGTGATACTATATTTTGTGTATATGGGCATTCCTTCCAGGGATAACTATGATCAGAAAACTTCACAAACACCCAGCAAGGAAACAATTATAGGGTGTCTCTGCCTCAAGTGTTTTTTTTTTTCCCCCTCAGAGGCTATGTTTACAGGAGGAATATCTCAATATTTGATCTCCACCTTGTTAGCATTCTTGCCTGGAAAATCCCAAGGACAGAGGAGCCTGGTGGGCTACAGTCAACAGGGTCCCAAAAAATTGGAAACGACTGAGCATGCACACACATTTGTTTGGTCTGACATGTGCACAACTAGAAGGCTTGCTGCTGAGAGCAAAAGGGGGTACTAGTTTCCAGTCTCAACTGTTGTCCAGTTTCTCATCATTTCTGGATAGATTCACAGCTACCTAAGTGTTCTGTCTCCAGAATGTCCTTCCTATCACTGTATCTACATTGGTAAAAATAAAGTGATCCTTTATAAAACAATATCCAATTCTAACCTCCCAGCATCTTAAAAGGGTTTTTGCTTGCTTCTCCAACTGGGATATTTTGGAAACTGTGGGGATGGGCACACCATGATGATTTGGATGAGAAGGATGAGAAGCTGTTGGAAAACTATGGGGCCTTGTGAGCCTGAGCCCTTCAGTGGTAAGTAGTTTAAAACATTTTGTTTTTTAAATGTTAAAACAAATATTTTAATGTTACGGATTTAAATATAAGAGTCGTGGGAATTTTAAAGAGAAACATGAGTCCTTAAAAGAATGCCAACCTTTTGATAGCAGCTATTGCATTTTACTCAATCCCAGAAGCAATTTTTGTAAGAAAGGTAATGAAGGACCAACTAGAGGGGAAAGTTCTAGCAGCTCCTGACCTGCAATAAGCCCCTGCTCAGCCATGCATCTTCCTGGCCCAACCTACTCTTTCTGAGAAGACACTCAGACTTTTCTACCGTGGCAACTTTGTTCTTATTTTTTCTCCACCTGGGAATCTCATCTCCTCCCTCATTTGCTTGGCCAGCTTCCGTTGCCTTCCTGCCTTCTTTTCTTCCTTCAACATTTCATAAACTCTACTCTGCCAGGTGTTTGACTAGGTCCTGGCAAGGTGTGGATTATTGGTGATGAGGGCAGAGGGAAGTCATACAAGAACACTGATAAACAGAATAATGGCTGATGTTGCTTGTCATGTACATAGCACCTTGATGAACACTTATCACGTATCATTCTACTTAATTCTTCTATCAACACTGAGAAATAAGTTGTGTCATAACTAAAACTTTCCTCAATGTCACACAACTGTCTTGTCACACAATAAATGACTCAGTCAGAATTAAAGCACAAATGCATGGGACTCTGTTATGCTTTTAAACATCATTTACCACCCAGTTTGATAAGTAATCTTCTAGACTAATGTTAAGTATGTCATCTCATCTGTTTTCCTTCTCTGAAAGTTCCTCCATTAAAGTATAATTATTTTCCCCCAGCTGTGCTCCTGTGTTCATTATCACCATGATTTCACTGGGGCCATTTGTATATGTTTCCCCTCTCACCCAGTACGGGTGACACCTCTGAGTCGTGGGTATATCATCTTCTCCTAGCACAGTGGACCTGCTGAACATGGTAGGGCATGGTGGGCCCTGTAGTGAACCAAGCTCATGAACACTTTGCAAAGATCAAACTTGTCTGCCCACAGGCCTTAAGGTGTGTGTTGTTTGGTCTGCAGAAGTGTTTTGAACTAGCTTGCCAACTTTTAGTAATAGTTTACTTTCAAATCTGGATTTCCAGATTCTTTTTAAAACTGAAAGATCTGAAAACATGGGTTAATCCTTCCTTCACGACCACAGTTGGCTGGGGCTGAGTGCAGCCATCTGCTCTGATCTCGCTGTAGCCCCCACCATGCCTGCTCTGCCATCATGACTACTTTACTCATTTTTGCTACTGGCAAGACCCTGACAGTGAGAACTGCAACCAGACTTCTGTGCAATCTCTAAAATCTCTTATTTCCTATATATCCATATGATGACTATAGTCTACAAATAGGATAATTTTTAAGGCAAAAACAATTGCAAGTAAAATTCAAAGCCATTAAAATGGTGCCAATACAACATGATTAACAGTAGGCTATTCATATACCGGCCTTCCCTGGTGGCTCAGACGGTAAAGAATCCACCTGCAATGTAGGAGAACTGGGTTCGATCCCTGGGTTGGGAAGATACCCTGGCGAAGGAAAAGGCTACCCACTCTGGTATTCTTGCCTAGATAATTCCATGGACAGAGGAGCCTGGCGGGCTACAGTCCATGGGGTCTCTAAGAGTCAGACATGATTGAGCAACTCAGCACACACACATACACTCATTTACCACTGTTAAGCCCAATTTACTAAGAATAAGTTAAGAAAAACAAAACACCAAGTGTAGAAAGCCTCATTACTACATAAATATCAAAATATGTATCTGAGTATGGCATGTATAATCTCTCATCACAAATAAACAGAGACTCTCAGGCCTATTTACAACCAACTCATGGCCTTTACATGGCTGTTTCAGCTCACACATAAGACGGTATGTACAAACTACTATAGTGTTGTTTTAGTAATTACAATTACAAACCCTTCATTAATATAGGATCTTCAATGATTGAGATAGATATTAGGATCAAGTTTATCTTTATATTGCAACAGTTTATAAAATGACTTGCTGAGCAAATATACTAGGTTAAATTGTTTATTAAAAAAAAAAAACAAACTGTTTACTTGATGCAAATTTTAGAGTCATGAGTTCCCAACAATGTAAGTGCATTGTAAGCAAAAGCTGGGTACTGCTTAGCTTAGTATTTTGATATAATAAGTACAAATCATTTTTCTCTATTCTTTACCATAGGAATCTTGCTAGACAGTGCTTTTTTTCACCCTAGTTAGATGTGCAATATTTATTTTAAAACAAAATATTGTCCCTGAGAAACATATTGTGTTACTCTGACTTTTCTTCAACTCAGTTCGTCCCCCAAGTCCAGTGACTTATATCTCACTCTACTTAGTAGCGTTAAGTGCAAAAAAGAGGGCCACAGTCAAGAGTAAATCCCAATTAGTCACCTAAACCTTCAACAGACATATCCACTATATTAAAATATCATGCTTTACTAATGCAAGGATTTGTGACAAAACAATAAACGCCTAAATGTGGTGAATAGCTGCTTAATCACCTCTGCAACAAAGGGAACAAATAAACCAAGCCAGCCCATTTTTGCATAGACTTGTAATAGACAAAATTAGAGTCTACAGTTTTATTTATTTGTTGCATTAGAGGGTCACCCAACATCTGAAGATAAATTGGAGTGCAAATAAATGGCTTACCTCAGAAAATGACCTTGAAAACAGTGCAAATTGACAGCAAAATAATGTCCTACCTGGGTAACCTTCTCTGTCACATTGTGTGTTCGATCTTTAACTTTGGGCGCAATAATGGTTTTATCTGAAGAAGGAGGGGATGCATTCTTTTTTTCAGCTTTGACATCTGAAAAATTCAGAGTGAGCTGTGGAATCTTGTTAATGGTGCTGTATTTGTTGAGGTTTGAATCCGACGTGGATCCCAGGAGGCTTGACTTGATATGATTAAAAGGCCCTAAAAAATTGGAAAGTATTTGTAAAAGCAAGATCAGGAAAAATTAATAAAGAGATGGTCTCAAATGACCTGTTAATAATTCATGACCGTTGGGACCCTGATTCAGATGGGACTAAATGCAGCTGGTTGATACCTGCTCACCATCCACCATATGGAGCGGCATGTGAATATCCAAGGATAAGATAGTGCCCGAGGTGTGCACTCAGGGAGCAGATGGCAACTTTAGCTGTTAATTGGCTTCTTTCATTAGAGGCTGGAACAGAAGAAAGAACTCTACTCCCTATTATTGTCTAAACTCTATATTCAAAGTTTCTCAAGAACTTGTTTATAACTTAATAATTATTCAAGGAAGGACATTTATAATTTATGAATTAATCAGGGAAGGTTAAAATCATGTTGGCCATGAAATTTCTGAATAGTGTCTAACCTGCTTTTATTTGTATTACTCCCCACCTCTGCCCTAACAAGTGACAAGCCAGTTGCATTCTTCATATGCTTCTATTACTTGTATAAGATACTTCACAGAGATTCTAGAAGTGTTAAGTCCAGACAGAGGAATTTCAGGTAACACTGAGAAGGACAAATGTCATCTGTGTGCATGTAAGAGGTCGCAAGAGAAGGAAATGGCAACCCACTCCAATATTCTTGCCTGGAAAATTTCATGGACAAAGGAACCTGGTGGGCCCCAGTCCATGGGGTCACAAAGAGGTGGACATGACTTAACAACTGAGCATAAGCATGATGTGTTGCATGGACTGAATTAAATAATTTGGATCCTATGTTGGATCTTTAAATATTTCCTTTCTTTTCATTTTTTTCCCTTTTATTTAGCATTAATGTTAGCATTAATTAGCCACTTTTTGATGGAAAAAGACATAGCAGAGACTCTTTTGGCAAACATAACTTACAACTGACATGACTGTCAGTGGGTAAATGACGATAGGTGGGTTTGGGGTTGGTAGTACTCAGTTACTTTAAAAAAAATACAAAAATGCTGTGCATTAGATACCTAGAATTTATTCTTGGACATTTGGACTCTGACCAACTTTGGTCACTTATCACATTCCTTTCTTACAAAGACAATTTGGCACAGCATCAAGATCCTGGACCCTTTGTTGAGGATAAGAACACTGACCAGCGACATCTTCCTTTGAGATGAACCTACTGTCTCTTCGCTTCCCTGGTGGCTCCGAAGGTAAGGAACCTGCTTGCAATACAGGAGACCTGGGTTTGATTCCTGGGTTGGGAGGATCTGGAGAAGGGAATGGCAACCCACTCCAGTATTCTTGCCTGGAAAATTCCACGGACAGAGGAACCTGCTGGGCTACAGTCCATGTGATCGCAGAGTCGGATACAACTAAGTGACAAACACACTGCTACTATTGTCTGTTGGTTATGGAGAGCCAAAAAAAAAACAACAATCCAAAAAGTTTCTTATACAATTGATGATATTACTTATAAAATTATGTAGCTCTTGAAGATTAGCATTAGGAAGAATGCTGTGCAGACATTAACTTTCTGCCTAGAGAGTGCTTGAAACATACAAACTGCATAAATGAACTTGTTAACACATTTAGCCTTATGCTGTTGTTTCCCCTGTTCAGTATGAAACTAGTACATTTTGGAGATCAAAATGTGCATTATGCACCAAGTGAGGTATAAACCCTTGAGAATTAAATTTATGGATTGTGTATTTTGGACCACAACAATTAATCAACTCAGGTCAAAAATAATCCAAGAAAAAAATATACCCATCATTTAATTCATATTCATCTTAGAGAAAAAAAATTACACTGCATTCATTTATAAAAGTTTATATTTGGTTATTATAAAATGTTGAAATGATTTTAAGAGATTTTTTTTTTATTTATGTAGGAAAGAGAGTATGTATTCCTTGAGGTGCATGTCTATTCATTCCATGAGTTTTACCCATGATGATGACCAAGTTTATCCAAGTTTAAAAGGTCGCTGTGCTCTCTGGGCATATATTTCCCAGTATTTCTCATTTGAATATAGATTCTCATTCTCTTTTCTATTTCTATGAGAAGAAGTATAAGAGCCCAAAGTTAGATTAATCTTTTCTTCCGATAGGTCTCTGGGAAACCCCATTGTTTGTAAACCCCTCCTATACACACTACTAATTTGTTATTGTAACATATGCTAGATAGTGTTTCCTTTTTTTGCATCATTCTATGGCTATATTCCAGACCAGTAGCTTACTATTTAAATTTTGAAAAATATTCTAGGACTTCAGATTTCTTAGGTATTGCCTTTTCCCAATTCTGATGTCATATTTTCATTGTAACTTTACGGCACACATGAGATTGTAGAACACAGAGTTCAAGCATATAGTTAAACTGTATGTCAAAACCTTACCCCCACCTTTCAATCCTCTTTCTCTATTATCCTTCTATATGTTGGAATTTTGTAGCAGATGACCTAGAAATATGAATCATCTGTAATGGTGTTAACACAGAAAGGTACGGTTACATGTACTTTGCTTGTGTTTGTGGCCACTGCAAATGAACTCCACTGAGTTTGCTGCACAGATAAGCAAATACTATCAACTGTGACAGTACTTCACTATCGGGGCATCTGTGGGAGTGTTTTTGTTACAGAGATGGGCGATGTATTTTCTCTTCCTTGAAAAATTGACCCGGATGACTCAGTGGGCATTCATGTAGGTGAAAAGCCTATTTATAATGATCTGAGCCTTGAACTTGTTTTACATATTTTAATAAATTAATACAATGAAACTTTCAGAGCTACAACTGCCATGTATAATGAATATTTTTACAGGTTTTTTTTTTTTTTTTTAATTCAGAACTTTACCAAAAGTTGTTCACCATTTTGGAAAACCTAATCACTGGGAGCTACACTACTTATGTTATTTAAGTCACCAAAACAAAATTTCAGACTTTAGGTTATGGTCTGTGTTTGTAGCTGTGACATGCAGACATGTAAATAAAGATATCTGAGTATTTTTTAAAACACTGTTGGAATCCAATATTATTAAATTTACAGATAATTATAGGAATCATGCTTAAAATTGTTGATTAAATTTCTTCTAAAATATTTTATATTATTGATCTCCTATATATGTAAAATGATGCATGATATAACAAAAAGAATTATATATTAGTTTTTAGGCAAAAAATAAACCCTTGGAATGATTTAATAACTCCCCAGATATTTGCCATGATGTCTCCATAATGTCTTTTCTTTATGGTAGTATCCTTGATTCACAATATTAGATTAGCTTCAGGTATGCAACATAGTGATTCAATATTTTTACAAATTATCTTCTATACTTCAAAATAATCACTTTACTCCCCTTTGCTGTACAATGTATTAGTGTTTATTTACTTCATACAGAGTAGTCTGTATATCTTAGTTTCATACCCCTATGTCAGCCCCCGTCCTTCCTTCTCCCTACTGATAACCATTAATTTATTTTTGACGTCTGTGTTCTACAAATGTTTTGATTGCCATTTCTTCTTCTAATCCATCTTCTGGTTCTTATTGCTTATGAAGGTGAAGAGCCTGCAAGGTCTTTCTTAAGTATTGGAGGATATATATATGTCCTTATGAGAAGTAGGATGTCTTTCTCCTGCACAATGCATTATTACTGCACATTATCCCATAGGGAATCATTATTTTGACACTACACTGAAAAGCAAGGGCCAATTCATTTGTGAGGATATTGCACTTTCTCAATTTCTCCCCAGTTGATTTTGGTATTATTAATAATTTAATTTTGATTACTCACTATTTAAAAGCTTATATATAAATAAGACCAATTTGTCACTATTTATTCCAATAGTGGTTTTGACTTTGTTATCCCTTCACACTCCAGCTCTATCATTTTAGCCAGTACTTAAATGGAATGTTTTACCATGCCTTTACTGTTCTTAAAACCAAATATTTTTTCATATTTCATATGATATCTTCTAGGGTAGTTATATCTGAACATTAACATATTGATAGAAATATTTTACTATAAGCTGCTTTTCTTTTATTCCACCTGTATAATTAAGAAATTATGTTGGCCTTTTAGAAATCAGTTATTTATCTCTAAATATCATTTTGGGATAGTGAAGTGAGCATAACAGGAAGTTGAAACAAGAGGATACTAATCTGATAGGGCTAAGAAGCCACTGGCCAATACACATCACACAAAGATTTGGTCTCAGAATATTGCAAGTTCATTGCAATCTGTATTTCATCTTCTCTTACTTTCTAATGGAAAACATTTCTAAACTGTTAATCTGTTCTTTTTTAATGCTAGGTTTCCTTTTAAACTTATACATTTAAAGACTTCAGCAGAACTTAAAATATATTACTTAAAATAATTCACTCGTGTTTAGATTCAAAATCTATTTCATCTTGTATAACAAAGATCATTATGCTCTTCTCCACTGCTTTTGAAGCAGGTGTTTATATGCAGCAGTCTGTTAGTGTCCGCAATGATTATCAGTGTCAGTTTAGGTTTCTCTGAAATCTGTCTAAATTCTAATGAAAATAACTTCCTACACTTTAATTAAGGAAGGTATTAGTAATATCCTCCTTTTACCAATTGTAAGCCTAAGCACACACAATAGGAGGCCAAAAGGGAATAAGAATCAAGCACCAGAAATTAGAATGCAGGGCTTCCTACCTCCTAGGTCTATATTAAGAGAGGCCTTGGTTGAGAATTTAAAGGTGAAAGGAAGCCTCCCTGAGAGTGAGGCATTTAAAATAAACAGATGGCATTTAAAATGCTAATGAAAGAAAAGAGAATAACCTGTATAACAAAGTAAATGAATTTAAAGAAAATAGATGGGCAGAAATAAAGGGAAATAGTAGATGCAATGGGGATTCCAGGGTGGCTCATGGTAAAGAATCTGCCTGCCAATGCGGGAGACCCAGGAGATACCGGTTGGATCCCTGGGTCAGGAAGATTCCCTGGAGAAGGAAATGGCAATCCATTCCAGTGTTCTTGCCTGAGAAATCTCATGGACAGAGGAGCCTAGAGGGTTCCATGGGGTTGCAAAGAGTCAGACACCACTGAGGGACTGAATATATACACACTAGATTCAATAGAAAATAATAAAGCTCAAAAGTATTTAGGAGGACTTGACAATTTTTAGAGAAACATTTGCAAAATGGATGAACAGACTAAATTTTCTAATATTCTAGTAGGATATGGAAAACAGGAGACCATGAAGACTAAACTCACCTAGAGCCAGACATCCTGGAGTGTGAAGTCAAGTGGGCCTTAGGAAGCATCACTACGAACAAAGCTAGCAGAGGTGATGGAATTCCAGCTCAGCTATTTCAAATCCTAAAAGATGATGCTGTTAAAATGCTGCACTTAATATGCCAGCAAATTTGAAAAAATCAGCAGTGGCCACAGGACTGGAAAATGTCAGTTTTCATTGCAATCCCAAAGAAGGACAATGCTAAAGAATGTTCAAACTACTGCACAATTGCACTCATTTTGCAAGCTAGCAAGGTAATGCTCAAAATCATTCAAGCCAGGCTTCAAGAGTACGTGAACCAAGAACTCCAAATGTACAAGCTGGACTTAGAAAAGGCAGAGGAACCTGAAATCAAATTGCCAACATCCACTGGATCATATAAAAAGACTAAGCTAACAGTTGGATCAAGCTCAAATACACGATAAGTGTCTGAGTAAATATAAAATAAGCCAGGTTCCACCTACAAAGAAGTATCCTGCATTTAAAGATCAAGCTACAGGCTAAAGCAACATCTGGGAAGAATTTTAGATTAAAGGTATTTAAAATTTTTATGATGAGGTTATTTGAACTTATCATGAGTTACAAGATGCTAATGGAGAAGGAAATAACAACTCACTCCAGTGTTCTTGCCTGGAGAATTCCACAGAAGAGCCTGGTGGGCTACAGTCCATGGGGTTGACTGGATTAAACAACCCCACTAAGCAACTAGCACACATATGCACACAAGATACTAAAGGAGAATATATTGTCCTCAAGATGCTGCTGGATTTCTGATAAACTTTTAAAAAAATAATGCTATTAAAAAAAAAAAAAGATTATTGCTCTTGAGAGCCAAAAGGAACAGAAAAGGAAACCAAAAAGATTAAGGGTGTTTTCAAATCATCTTTAAACAGTATTTCTTACAGCATGAGTTTATTTGGCTAAAGTTTAATACAACCTAAATTGCTGAAGTGGCTTAACATTAAAGAAAATGCAAATGCAGTGTTTAGTAATTGGATTTTGTAAAAGACCACTGTCAATAAGCATAAGATAACCAGTTTGACATTAAAAATATATCAGAATTAATCACCAAATTATTTATAATCAATATCCATATTGTTTGTTTCTGTGCATGACATATACTTTACAGAAGAAAACTGTCATGACTGAAAATCAATTTGAAAATTCTTGTAAGATCACAAACACTTGGTAACAGCCAATGTAGCATATGAGCTAAAAGTTATATTAGATCAGTTGATTTCCTTTGTGTATCTGATAGCTTTTTTGACTAGAGGGGAGGTGAAAGGACTCATATACCAGATTCATAGATGACTTGGAAATTGAACATACTGTTGTCAGTGGAGTACAGAGTTATTTGGGATAATGAAGAGGTAGAAGCTATAGAGAGGTAAACTTTTTAAAATGACTTACTAAGTGGTGTAAGTGGGGTTAATTTTTATGGTGACTTGGGAAGTAGAATAAACAGAATAACCACTAGAATTGAGTTTATCTTTCACATATTAGAAAAATTGTTTAAATATATGATGTACACATTCACACATACATAGAAGCAGCAGGTGCAATTTATTCGAATTAACTTTTTCACTCTTTGATAATGGGTTATACTTTTGTACACTCTGAAGTCTTATTTCAGAGTCAGAGTGTTAAGGGAATTTATTAAAGGAAAACAAAATTGATCCTAAGAAAAAAGGTAAAATGGCCATTTTAGCAGAAAAGATTTGAGTATCAATTTGCTGTTTTTGCTATGATGTTACATAAAGAATAGAAGTGACCAGCTAGTATCTCAGTCCTCTCAAGACAGATGAAGGGAAAACAATTACATTTCAGCAAGGATTTAAATTAGCTTTTGTATAGACAGGAATAATAGATTTTCCAAGAAAGTTAAAGAATGGGATCCTCAAGAGATAAAGATGCTTCTGCCACCTGTGCAAGAGATTTCACCAATATTCTTGCCTAAGGGGAATAAACTAGATGATCTTGAAGGCCTTCCAAGCACATTTCTAAATATTTTAGTTTGTTAAAGAAATTGCTTTTGGTTAAGTCAATATGGAAAAAAAATATAATTATGTGCTTGCATACAGAGATGTATAGAATTTTTTATTTTTAAAAATTTTCATTTAAATATGGTTTAGTAACAAGGCCCAAAAAATTTTAAAAAGCACGCTTAATGCATTGTCCTGTGGCTAATTAGCATATTAATTACTCTGTGAAAATCTCAAAGAGCCAGGCACTTGAATATTTTTAAATAGTTTTCAAAATCAGAGCCTGAACAAATAATAAAGACACTGGAGGGCACATTTATATTAAATTTTTTATTAAATTGCTCATGTTTTACCTTTTAACTTTATAAATATTATTATGTGAAAACTTTCTAGAGTTAGAGTTTCTTAATCCCAAATTCTGACTTTTATGATTCGTTTTTATTCAAAGACTATTGCTATTAAAAAATGGAGGACTGAAGGAATGGGTTGGAGATTAAATGGCTTAATCTATAAGGAAAAAAATGAGTTAATGTAGCTTGAATGACATGAAAACTATGTGAACTATTAGTCTGAAGATTAGTGAGCTCAATTTCCTGTTTACTGAGGAAAATTATATTTGTTTCTCACTGCATTTAAAGATCACTGGAAAATTAATGTCTAATAATTTATTGCTAATTGTTAAATGCTAAAGCCAGTCATGTTTCACACAGGCCAGTTGTCGTGAGCTGTCTGTATTCTGTTTTTTGAGGTTATGTTCTGAATTATATCAATGCAAATCACTACCCACAGCTGACACTAATTTGCTCCCTTTTAGAAATCTCAATGGAAAGGCCAAGGATAAAATAATCATGTATATGAAATTCCATCCTGTAATTGGAGGTCACCTGCACAGACCCTTTTTGAAATACTTAGAAAATGAAGTTAGGATAGAGAGAAGCTGCCATGATTTCTCTTATTTTCAAATTACCTGGGATGCTGATGAGAAAACATCTTTAGTTTCTAGTGCTCTTAATTCAGAATCATCACCAGCTCTGAATTAGTTAGGGAAGCATTTGAGAAATCAATATACAAAACTTCACAGTGATCAGAGTAGAGTGACATACGGAAGAGGCCAAAACAGTGAACTCTAAGTAACGATGGTCACTGATGGAGACGTGTCCATGCAACACACATGCACAAATGAGTATTGTCACCATATGGACGCCCACAGCAGCATGCAGAGCGTATGTTACAGGACTAAGTTCCAAAAGTTTTCAATTGGATGAGAATAATATGATTTTTATATTTTGTGGTTTTTGCATCTAGTACAATAAAGTAGAAAAACTGAAGTGAATTTTCTATTTTTAGTCAGATCCAGGTTTATTCAGAGGTATTGCCCAGTTAAACCTACATCAGCTTCAGGTCATGCTAGTGATTTCAGACTTATAGAGGACACAATTAAAAATGATTGAAATGTTATATAGAAAAATAGGAAATGACTATCATGCATATACAGTTTACTACTACAGTAAGCTTGAAACCATACCCCCTGCCATCCAGGAGCGTGAAACTAGTTTTAAGGAAACAAAAGAGGAACAAGTGAAGTGATGCTGTCATGTAGCACTTTATTTTATTTAATCTGGTACTCAAAAAAGATTCTTTTTTGGCTGAAATATATTTAGCTTAATATTTGCTTCTTTCCAAATTATTCAAATGTTTAGGAAGTCTTCATTGTCAACCTAGGCTTATACTCCTTGCAGGAAAAAGGAGTTCTTAATCATTTTGGTGACACAGTTGAGAAAGTAACAACATCTCCACCAAAATCAAGCCATGATGTCTCCACCAGGCACCTGGACTCTCTAAGGGCAGCATGATCTTGCATTGAATAGGGCAGAGAGCAGGCAAGTTAACATGCCGAGTAAGGGGTTAATTTAAGCATCGGATGATGGAACTTGAGTTCATACATTACCTTTAACATTGCGACCATTGTCTGTTTTGAGCACGTAAGGAAAAAAAGAGAGAAATATGAAAACTAAAATAATGTTATATGCACTGAATAACCTCTGTAACAACAATCACAGAAAATAGGATGCAATGATGGAAAATGTATCTTTGAAATTAACATCCTGTATTCTTCAACCAAGTAAGATGCATATGCTAAAAATAGTATCTGCCATCATAAGCATCTGTGTTCAAATATGTGAAACATTAATCTCACTTAATTTCAATGGATCCCAAGATCTAGATATTATAATTATGACTATTTGGAGAAAGCCATATCTATATGCCTAGAGTTGGGTAAAAACTTTCAACACTGTCAGAAGTCAATTTTAGTGTAGCTTCAGCCACCACTTACAAAGAACTACACAGCATTTTGTATGGTAAGTAATGTTTTTCATTATAAACTAAACTAGTGTGTTAATAAAAAGTGGTTCTAAGACAATGGTTTAATAAACCAACTTGAATTATTAATCACAATTTTATGAACAATCCATGTCACAAATGCTCTTAATGAATATTTTGAAAATATGAAGCAGCAGTCTCAAAGCCATTCTTAGGCAAAAATAATTATAAGAAATCAGTGAAAGATTTGACTTTAAATGTAATATGAGATTTAAAAATTTATGCTGTCCACAATACACTCAATGTACTACCTAGAATTTTTAGGAAATTTGTTTATATTATAATGGGTTTGTTTTCAAATTTCAAAATGGAGTGTTTTCAGATTTATTTTGAGATTAGTAATCTGACATTGTTACATATTGCTGCTAATAAAATATTCATTACTAGTTTTGAAACAAACAAGCTTAATATTAATGACATCATGTTAAAAACTTTCAAATACAACCAAGATTTGAAAAATATGTTGTCAACATATATGCTAGTGCTATTCATATTTAAAATCTTGGGATATATCATAATTGTTTCAAATTCAGCAACTGAAGCAATTTCAATAGTGTGGTATACTGAATTGCTATCATAGACATTATCTCACACAGAGATGCACAGATAAAATAGTGACCTTATATGTCAGTGTTCTGCCCTCTTTGAGGGGCTATAAGAAGCAAATAGGGCTAATGGAAGAGACTTTGAGTACAAGGAATTAATTATCTCCATCAGAAGTTGGGCTCAACAATCATTAGGAAAATAATAACTGCTTGCGAGCAAGTAGTTAAACATTATAACTCTATTCATCAACCTGGAAATCACATGTAAAGAACTGTAAGTTCCAAAGACAACTGCCCCAAAGTGATATTATATAGTTAATGCTGCATTGACATTCTGAGACAAAGCATGTGGTCTTTGCACTGGTACTAGCTAAGAGCTGCTTGTATAGATCTGCTAGCTAAGATCTCCATGACAGTATACGTGCAGAAATTAGAATAAGCCTTTAGAGTCTTGTAGCAGTTTGACAGAATAATTTTACATCTGTTCAATTTAATAATACAAGAATTGGGGCTTATATTTTTACATCTATTTTTTAAAATTTCATTTTCCATATAGTGCATTATTACTGTATTTACAAATATATTTGTATGTAGTAGATAGGAAAACAAAAACAAAAACTTCTGGTCCTTCACCACAAATGGTTTGATTATTATGGTTCTAAGGTTATTTGGTAATGTAAATCAGGTGAAAAGATAATGTAAAATAATATGCACTGATATATTTGCAAATTATTTCAAGTTCTATAAAATAACCTATATAGGAGGGAATTTTCTTCTTGAGTGAAGAGGCAACAATTGAAACCATTAAATAATTATATAGAGTCATAAAATTAAAATCAGTTTAAAAGCTTTCCATCTTCCCTATCAGTGCCTCAGTTTCTAAAGCATATTAAATTATATAGCTTTAGGAACTGTAGTTTCTTCTATACTAATTAGAGATTTTGTATCTAAAATTGCTCTAATGGTGAAGTACAAAATACCTTCTGAATTATCAATTGGTAGTCAGAAGCCGACTTTAGCATCTTTAAAAAAAAAGATACAGATTTTGAAAATAATATAGTTTGGGTGGGAGAAGAAAACTGAGGATGATCTCAATTGTCCATCCTTGTCCATAAATAAAACCTGTACTGAGAAACCCAAAATACTAACACATCCTTTTCCCATAATTGCATCAGTAACTGTGTGCTAAATGGAGACTACATAAAATTGAAAACAATAAAGTTAAATCATGAAATCTGATCTAACTTAGTACTGCTGTCAAAACACAGGTTAAGTCTGTACCATGCACTGAATATGCATCATATAATATTGTTTCTGAATGTTATTGCATTGTAACTCAGGTTCTAGGCAATAAGGCCAGTCTCTGAAAAGTCAGTATGTTTGCTAAAGAAGACTACGCTAAGCGGACTGACTAACTAAAATATACGCTGGCCATTTGAATTACTATATTGGATTTACTGTTCCACTATAGGATCCAGCGCTTAAAGACTAAATTTCAGAAGTTTCTTTTAGTCAGGAGATAGTGAGCATGATGTGACTAGATAGTACAGAGTTTTAGACAATGATCTGGTTTGAAAATTGTTCTTGACTTTATTTTCCTTTTGACTTTCTTTGGACTAGAGAATAAAATAGATGTGTTAATTGTTCTTGTACCATATCAAATCCATCTTACAGAAAACTGTTCTTTTTATTTCTGTGATACTGATTTATCTCTCTTTGAATTTTTTCTTGTTAATTCATTTTCTTTCACCTCTTCTGTCTTCTCTACTTCACTGCACTCTTTAGAGATCTCTCACATGATTCAATCCTATGATTGTTGTTTAAATTGCAGAGTACTAATGAATAGATAACTCATTATTGCCTGATGTGTATGGTTCTGTAACAAAATTCATGAGCATGATGCTCTTAAAGTCACATCAATGCTTATTGAGTTTCTGCCATGAAACCAAAGCCATGGAGCCAACTATGCTAGAATTCCAGCACTAGAGAAGCTCTCGACGACATCCTTATTTGTGTGTGTATCTAATAGCATTGAAAGACATAAAATGTGGAATGAATGTAGAATAATAAGAAATAATAATAAGAAATGCTATCATATATGTAAACACTGTTTTACACACTTAGGTATGAAATCATTTAATTCTGGTATGGAAAGGAGAAACGGGTCCTTATGGCTATGAGCAGTAGTGTGAGAAGGGACAAACTGGGCATGAGTATTCTCAGCAGAACAAAGCAATGAAGGAAGAAAATGCATGAGATATTTTTGGGAAAAGGTGATTATTTTTGTGCAGGTTTAGAATTGAGTATATAGAAGGGGAGGAAATCTTGCAGGGGCTAGAAATGAAGCTTGAAAAAACTATGGACAGCTGGATAAGTGTCTAGTACCCTACACTAAGGAGCCCCATGATCAGATTTATGTTTTAAAAAGAAAACCAGCAACAGCATGGATGATGACAGGCACTCACAGGAATAAATACCACAGAGAGGACAGTGGGCCTCTCCAGAACCCAAATCTGTAGAAAGTGAGACTAATGCATCCATGCAGTGGGTACTGTGGAGCCCTATACCAAGGTCACAGGTGTGGAGCCCTGTACCAGTCATAGGTTACAAATCTCTGGAACTGACCAAGCCCTATAGCAACTGTTGCCATGAGTCTCTGGATCGAAACCAGCCAGTTCCCTGACTCCAAATTAGGTAAAGTACCCACCCTATTATCTGCCTTATATCATCCTGGCCAATCATCTAATGCCATCATTCCAGTAGAAATGTCTTGAGACTATAAAAATTGGCTGCCCAGCAGGGGTGGGCTTTCCCTTTAGCCAACCCACTGCTCTAACAGTGTCTCCCACTCTAATAAACTTTATTCTCCTCTAATTTTGCCTCATGTCTGGAAATTTTTTCCAACATATGCACAGACCATGACAGATACCCTCAGTCTTGGACCTCCCTGGAGAAGTTTCAGTGATTCAACATTTCCTTGCAGCAAGGTTTCGTGAAGCATACATTAAAGAAGAACAACACTGAATGGATGGATTGTGGATTCTGGAGACCAGTCCTGGGTTTGAAAGTGTTTCCCTGGTGGCTCAGATGGTGAAGAATGCGCCTGCAATGCAGGAGAACTGGGTTCAATCCTTGGGTCGGGAAGATCTCCTAGAGAAGGGAATGGCTACCCTCTCCAGTATTCTTGCCTGAGGAATTCCATGGACAGAAGAGCCTGACAGGCTACAGTCCATGGGGTTGCAAAGAGTCAGGCACGATTGAGCGACTAACACTTTCTGGCACTTCATAAACTTCATAACCTAGGACCAGATATTTATGTAACATATCTAAGTCTTGTGTGCCAAGTCACTTCAGTTGTGTTCAATTCTTTACAACCCCTTGGACTGTAGCCCACCAGGCTCCTCTGTCCATGAGATTCTCCATGTAAGAACACTGGAGTGAGTTGCCATGCCCTCCTCCAGGGAAGCTTCCTGAAGTCCTGATGCAGGGATTGTCTGTTTTGTCTCCTGAATTGCCTGGCAGATTCTTGAGACACCAGGGATGCCTCTAAGTCTTAGTTTCCTCATCTATTAAATCCTGGGCTTAATAATAGATTCTAATTCATAAAGTTATTATAAGAATTAAATGAGTTAATGTTAATGAGTATGCCTCATACACTCAACAAATGTTATAATTATCATGTTAAAGATGAGCTGTTTTTGTTGTCCTGAAGAGGGCAGAGAGAAATAATGAATTTTGACTTTGCATTTCATGTTGTTTTTGGTTGAGCCCCTTCCCCCTTCTTATCTCCTCCCTTCCCCCAATTAGTGTATAGCTTTCTTATCACTCAGTATATCATATTTCATACACCTTTTCCTTTTGGAAAGAGTTGGTCAGTAAAATAGTCCTATGATCATGCACCACACTTTTTGACCAGTTCTTGACTATTTACTAAATGCAGCACAATGCATTATGTTTGAGATGATATTGTTATCACCTAAACAGATCTTATGTTAAGCATTAGTTATTTAACACTCCATAAAGTAAGCAGATAATAGTTATCATTCTACGTCGATAAAGAAGCCAGAAAAAAAAAAAATAGTCACTAGGATTCAAAGAGGAAATAAGTAACAATTCTGTAGAATTGATATTTTTAATAGGTTCTACTCACATTTCTTCTTCACAAGTATAAGGATTAGTGTTGAAATAAAACACAATACAGAAATTACCTTTCTTTACTCCTTAATATAAGTTTCCATGTTAAAAAAAAATAACTAACATACCTTCACTGGCGTGTCGGTCTCTAAATATGCTCTTGGGATGGACATTAAATCCTTCTATATCATGAACTGAGGAAGCCCTCCGGATACTACAAATGCTTTCCTTTGATCTGGAATGAGTCAGCTGGGAACTTGACTGCAGCATGTCAGGGTAGAGTCGGTCCCATTGCCTTTTGGGAGAGGAATGGTCAAGAGGTCCGGAGATATTCACCAAGGGGGAACATTTGCTGGGCTGTATCAAGGCTTTTGTATCATCTGCTTCTGAGGGGCTGCAGCTTTCTTTTGTAGGAGACTTTAAGTGCTTCATAGCTACGGAATCGTCACTGTGTTTGGATGACTCAATCACGACCACATCAGGATCTTCTTGTGGTAAGGACTGCTTTCTGTAAGTGAGAACTCTCAGACCAGGGAATTTGAACCCAAAGAGTTTCCCTACAAATGGAGATAGGAAAGAGCATTATTACACGACAAAGGATATATTCCTTCAAACAAACAAATAAACATTGTTGACACATATTTAACTACCATGTAAAAGGTTATTAACAAATACTTAAGTTATTTACAGTTGGAATGTGGTTTATGGTAGAAAATGTCTCTGGGACTGATATGAATTATCATATAAGTTGTAAGAAAATAGTGAAAAGATTTTACCATGTTTCTGATGGTTAGATATACTCCAGTGATACAAAAGCATTATTTGGATGATTTTTTTGTTTTAATAAATTACAAAATATATTCACTATACATCCATTTTCTTAAAGGGAAACCGAGCATTGGAGTACAGTTTAGAAGGAAAAAGAAGGGATGGGATACTATATGTAAAAGGGCCAGACACAGGAAAGATTATAGTGCATGTGTGTGGGAGGTCTATGGAAGGGAGGATGCTATAGTATTGGAAGTGTAGGAAAGGGAATGAGGTTGGAATAAGGAGTTGGCCTGACATATTCTAAAAGATTTATATTGGATGATATTGTTAGTCTAGTGTTGATGTGAAAAGTGGGGTCAACTGTGTATGAAACAGTCCTCATTCTGCTTGGAATTCCTGAAAAACGTTTGGTTTCAGAGTGGGTTGTAAACATAAGAATTTCTTTGTCCTGATTAGTTTTTGTTCCAATAGCTAAGAATATGGCATGGAATGTTATATGTATCTCAGAATGGTTGATGCTTAGAAGGACAACTAAACATAAACATTAAAATATAGATATTAAAAATTTAAAAATTAGCTAATAAACACATAAATTTACTGGTAGTAAAATATGCAAATTAAAACAAGATTGTATCTTCCATGCTTAAACTTATAGTAAATGAAAACAAGAAACATAACATCTAGTGCTGGCAAAGAATGCTGACAAGCATTCTGATGCTTTGCGAGTGGAACAGCAAACTGGTACAAATTCTTTGGAAAATCATCTTACAACATCTATGAAAGTGAAAAAAATACAATTTTCATATACACTTTTAATTTGACTCAGAAATCCCTTTTATAGGATACTACAAATGCACCAAAACAAGATGCAATCATATTATCCATTAGAAGAAGAATAGTGGAATAAATTATGGCATTTTTATACTTTGGAATCTTATGATGTTCTTTAAAAACAAGAATATGTATAGGCTTTGATTAGATGGTTACTCAAATATAGTTTTACATGAAAAGGGAAGTTTCAGTTTAATGTGTTTATGGTGACATTATTTCATTAAGAATAATAAAACTTTGCATTTGCCCATAGAAGTCATATGGCAGTAGAAAAAGATGTGGAAAAACACAATCCACAGTTTTAATGTTGATTGGGTCAATGGGTTTGGAAGTGTGGGAAATGTATTGCATTTTTCTTTATATATTTCTAATGTTTGTTTCATTGAGCATGCATTCTTGTATAAGTTAAAATATTAAAAAGGTAAAGCTTATACTCCTAGACAAAATGGATAAGAGAAAGCATCCAAACAATACTGTGTAAATCAAAGATTTTCTAAGTATTGTCTACAAGAAAATGCAGATTCTGTTTTCTGTTGTCAGTCCAGTAGTCTAAGTCCACATCATTCCATGGCTTTACAATCACATGTTGGGTTTCGAGTCAGTCAATTGGATATCTGGGATATGGTATTTTCTACCTCCTTATAATCTTTTTATTTTCTTCTTTCTATCTTTTGGCCATGCCATGTGGCATGTGGATTCTTAGTTCCCCAGCTAGGAATCAAACTCATGCCCCCTACAGTGGAAGCTCAGAGTCTTAAACACTCAACACCACAGAAATCCCTCCTTAAGTTCTTTAAGTGTCATGGGCACCATTATCTTTAATATATTTACTATGAACTTTACCTCAATGTATTGAGAATCATTTTAAAACATGGAAGAACACTCAAAACTTATGAGCTTTCCTGCATTATATTTAAGTATAGTCGTCCAGTGGATGGTCTTATCTATGCACATATTTTCAATTCCATCTTTAGCTCAAATACCTATAAATCTATAACTCAAGCCTAGACTTATTCTCTTACCTCCAAAGCTGTGTTTTTAATAGCCTCATCAGAATCTTCACCTAGAAGTCTTCAAGACACCTAAAAATCCTGTAACAAATCTGATCTCATGATCTATCCTCCAAGTCTAACCCTTATTTTTTCAGTGAATGGCACCACAGTCCATCTAAGCCTGAGATGAGTGCTACTCTAGTAGTAACTATTCTGTCTTACTCCTTCCTCCATATCCAATTAATCTGCTGTGTTCATTTTACCTCTTGAATATCTTTTTAATGTTTTTACTTCTCTTTATCTCCACCGCTCTGACTCTGTGGAGATAATCACGGCTCACCCGATTTCTTGCAATAAGATACATATAATTTCCCATATTTGCATCATATTGTCTATCCTTTAAAGATTATTTAAAAAAAAAAACACAACTTTTGACCACACAGACTGTTGCTTAACCTTTTACTGCTTCCAGTAAGTTCTTGCTTTGGGCATGAAGAGAATACTAACTCTACTATCTGAAGCTTAATTTTTCCTCCTTCCTTTCTAGGATCCTGCCATATGAACTTTATAATTCTTCCAGAGGTCTGTGCTTCTTTTAGATTCAGGGTTTCCTTGTGCTTGATAATTTTCACTCTTCCTACTTAGTACATCCTTTAGGATTTTCTTTTTATGGAAATCTGTAGCACTTCTTTCTTCTTAAAAAATATTTTATACTGGAGTATGCATGTGTGTGTGCTAAGTCACTTCAGTTGTGTCTGGACTCTGTAACCCTGTGGACTATAGCCCGCCAGGCTCCTCTGTCCATGGGATTCTCCAGGCAAGAATACTGGAGTGGGTCGCCATGCCCTCCTCTGGGGGATCTTCCCAACCCAGGGATCAAATCCTTGTCTCTTACGTCTCCTGCACTGGCAGGCAGGTTCTTTGATTAATAATGTTGTGTTAGTTTCAGGTGTGGAGAAGGCCATGGCAAACCACTCCAGTACTTCTGCCTGGAAAATCCCATGGACGGAGAAGCCTGGTAGGCTGCAGTCTAAGGGGTCACGAAGAGTTGGACACGACTGAGCGACTTCACTTTCACTTTTCACTTTCGTACATTGGAGAAGGACATGGCAACCCACCCCAGTGTTCTTGCCTGGAGAATCCCGGGCACGAGAGAGCCTGGTGGGCTGCCATCTATGGGGTTGCACAGAGTCGACACGAGTGAAGCGACTTAGCAGCAGCAGCAGCAGTTTCAGGTATAGAGCTGAGTGATTCAGTTATACATAATCTATAAAAACATCCTTCAGATTTTAGCTCCAAAGTCATTTCCTATGGGAAGCTCTTCTTTCCTTCAGAACTATTAGTATCACCTTTGTAATTTTCACAACTGCTCATAGCTGTACACTTACTGATTTTCTGATTAACACTTCTCTCCCCTAGTGGACTGTAGGCAGGGCCTCTGTCTACTTTGCTCACCAAATCCCAGTTCCAACAGAATGCTTCAGTATGGTAAGTGAATTTTCACTAGCAGATCCTAAACTGATAATGTGCTTCAGTTTTGACTGTGGAAAAAATAAGATAGTCAATTGCTCTGACCAACTTGTTTAGACCTATTATTTGCCTCCTAATAGACTTCCCAGGTGGTGCTAGTGGTAAAGAATCTGCCTGCCAATGCAGGACACATGAGAAGCAGGTTCAGCCTCTGAGTTGGGAAGATCCCCTGGAGGAGGGCATGGTAATCCACTCCAGTATTCTGGGCTGGAGAATCCCATGGATGGAAGAGTCTGGCAGGCTATGGTCCATAGCACTGGAAAGAGTCGCTCACAACTCAAGCAACTTAGCATAAACACACAGCCTCCTGGAACTTGATTTACTCATATTTGCCAAAATAACTGAGTAGAATCCAATAGCTTATGAAAATGGTGAAGTTTATATCATGCCCTATATGCCTAATACAACACATGCTCTTAATTGTCACCTTTTCCCCAGAGGTTATTAATTGCTATCATTCTGATTCTAGAGCATACACAGAAGTGTTTTCAAACTCCTTATCATCTAGTGGTTTTATGTAAAATACCGATTACAGAAAATTTTAGAATAAGCAGGCTAAATTCTTACTGTTAGGTTTTATGTGCTAGTAGTTAACAGTGGCAAATATAATTGAAATAAAATTTATCTTTCTGATAAAAGACAGGACACAGTGCACAAATTCCAGGTACATTCAGCATTAAGCTCTGGATTAATTAGTAGGTGACAGTAGCCACTCTGTGCATATATGATTAAATAACAGTACATCACAGTATCTATTTTGCAAGCATTCTTATATAATTCTACTAACAACATTTATATGCTCAAGTAAATTGCCAAGTTAAAAATCAGTGAACTGCATCAAAGTCATTTGATTAGTTTTTAATGCACTTGGAATTGACTTATAAAGCAGTTTACAAATCAATTCTGCAAGCTTATTACAATGCACTGAGGTCAGCGCCTACTTTTATTCATTTTTCATCCATTACATTACCCTCCACATTTAAAAACAATTCCCTGCCTTTCTTAAATTAATGACTGCACAAGGCATTTAGATTGCTCCTACAGTTTAGTCATATCCAAGGTGGTACAGATGGTCTTTTCTGCATCACTAGGTTAATATGACCATGTTATATTGCATTACAGATTTAGTTGTCTAACCTCAGTTCATCCGGAAAGAATAAACATTGAGAATTTTGGTCAGTGCTAGCACTTTCGGGCATCAAATATAAAACATAGATAAGTATAATCTTATGATTCTTAACACTAAAAAACAGCCTTGTAAGTTGCTTTCATATTGTAATATATTTGCTTTCTAACTTGAATAACTAAAAGAGATACTGTTTAGCTTACTATCTACTAAAAGGTTCAGTAAGTCTGAAATAATAACAGTAGAATTGGGGGGGGGGCTATACATCTTTTAACACATCCCCCAAAACAGTTATATGTATTGATAA